GTAATCCGCCAGGGCGTGGGTTCGAATCCCACCACTGTCAACACCTTTGGGGTGGTGGTGGCCCGGTGGTAACCTCACCAATTATCACCCTGGAGGACCAGTATTCGAATTCCACCATCACCGCCCGACTTCCACCATTTGTGTATTGTATGGCAGCCCTTCGATTGGCCGCTTCCACTTCCTGAAAAATTGTATCTTTGTATATTCAATAAAAGGAAGTAAAATTTAAAAAAGTTAAAAGAATCACTGTCTTAGCAACAAGATAGTCGACAGTTGAAACCAGCTTCCAAAGGAAATATTCGACCTTCAGACAGGGTATGCCTTTAGTACTGCATCTGATAAGCGATGGAAAGAACTATTCTCCTCTCTGGTAGTGTGGAAGAGTTTAGGCGTGCAAAATATGTAGGATGTAATTTCTGTTTTTTCACTGGTGCGTGTAATGAAACGTTCACGTCTAGCAATTCACTGGTCAATTTTCATGAGATGAAATCCTATTTCTCATTCTTAGTTCAGCAGAGCTGGTGGCCTGTATATCGAGCATAACATCGAAGGCATTCTAGACACTCGATAGGCGGTGGCTATATTATAATAAATATATAATAATACATTTAATTAAGTTTTGTGCAGCCTATGTTGGATCATTCAGGATGATTTTGTTTTCGAGCTAGTACAGAAAAAGTATTTGACGCAGGATACTAAATTCTATCATGTAACTGGGAGAAGGTACACGCCGTGGGAACAACAAGTGTTCCTTTGTTCAACGGTTACATCACCTTGCATACTCTTCGCTGATCAACTTAACATCTGCTGCTAAAATGTCAAACTAAAACTAATAGCTTTGCGAAAAAATGCATCCTCAGGTGCGAAAACTCTTATCTGTTTGTCGAATCACACATCTGAACCACCAGCCATTCTATTCCAACATATGTTTTACCAACCATGGAGCCAAAGAGTTCTTTAACTCATGTACAAAGATGGTTGTCGCCGCCCCGCCCCCCCACTTCGTTGAATACCGACCTGGAACCCTCTCTGTAGTGTTATAGAAATTTACGAAGTCAATTCTGGCAGATTCCCTGATGGAACATTTAAAAAAATATGACATTCATTCGCCAAATCAACATGCGGTTGATGTGATTTATCTTGACTTGTCAAAAGCATTTGATCGGGTAAAACACTTAATTTTGTTGCAGAAGCTCGACAATTACGACATTCAAGGTTTCGTGCTTGATTCGTTTAGAGCAATCTACTGAAAACAGATCACATCACATTGTGTTTTTGATTCCTCATCCGATTATATCAATGTTACCCGTGGTGTTCCACAAGGATTTGTATTTGGACCCCAACTTTTCCTGGCATTTATAAATGGTCTACCTGAACGTGTTAGGTCCACAATTATTACTGTTTGCAGATTAAGCCAAAATCTGGAAGACGGTAACAGAATCCAAGGGCTCGCCAACACTTCAAGAAACACTGAATGCAACCTATCAATAGTCCACGGAGAAAGACGCTGAATTCAATGTTTCTAAATGCAAAGTTCTTTCCCTACGCCACAGGAGTAGATTCCCTTATTTCGTCGGGAATCAGCAGCTGCCACACACATTAAGTGGAAATGACTTG